TTAAGGAAGAAAAACAATGCAAGAAATGAGAGATGGTGCATTGGGAGAAACTATCATTCTTTATCATATTGTATAAATTAATATTAGGCCTTTCTTTTATTACCATTAATTTTGCAATAAAAATTCATAACATATTGAATTATTTAAAAGGGGAAAGAAAATAAAACTTATAATCAATTTTGATTTCATTATTAAAATTAATCAATTTTAACAAATCAAATCACAGCCGTGTATACAAACAATATGCAACAGCCAACGCGCACACACCCTTAATTAAAAAAAGAAGAATGATTATTTGTGCGAAGATTTGTGAACGATCATGACATCTCCGAGACTATAAATAATGCTTATAATTTACTTATCAAAGTTAATTTGCAAATTATTAATTTCGACCAGCAATTAATTCAACTTGAAAAAAAGAAAAAGAAAAACAGGTATAAAGATTCTCACTTTATCAAAAATAAAATAAATAAATAAAATTGCTTCTGTAACCCTTTTAGGGCAGTCAAATAATATTCATCAGCTCTACACTACATATAGAAGAATAAAGTACAAATCTCCCCCACACCTAACTAATGCAATGTCCTTATTGCAAAAAATAAAGGTGACACAAAATAGAAGGATAACAAAAACTTTTATGGAATAGGTGGATATGACCGGCCTTGCTCAAGTTTGACGGAGTGCGTTGAGTGTGGAGTAGCTTCTCAATGGTGTTCAATTTCCCTTGAATGACTGCTTGGCTGGTCAAAACATCATTAAGTTTGATGTGAAGTTGAACATTGCCCTGCTTCAATATTTCAATGTCTGTATTAAGAGCCCATAGAGTAATGCGGAAAGCAGGGTTATTGGTGGATCTCGAAGGAGTACCATCCTCATTAGAATCATTGGCATAGGGCTTTTCTTGGTCGTCATCAAACTGCACCACAATCCTTTAGAAGGGGCATCGCCACTAGAGAACAAGCTGATATCCAGTGCCAACCTTTTTAACCATCCCATGTGAAACAAAACCATCAGATCTAGGTGCTTGATGGGCCCCGCTTGATGAAGAAGCAACCCGAATAAATGTTTTTAGTGCATAGAAGTTCATATGTTGTTTGTTCTTCGGGTGAGAAAGAAAGCAAATGGCCCATAACTTGAGTTGGAGGCAACACTTGAATTGATTTAACTTTTCATGCTCTTGCATTGGTAGTACATTAATAGAGGGATTTACCAAAGTGGAGGGCAGTATGTCCGTCGTGTTAGAACTGGAGTTGCCCACATCTTTCCCTTTTGACTTAGATGATGTCTTGTCATTTGAGCTTGATACCTAAGTTTTTCCTTTTCCCAATTTGAAATGGTCTTAGACCAGGTGGCAATTGGAACCTTTGGGGGGATGGTATCTGATGCTCACATTGGTGCATGTATGCGGGAGAAATCAACAAAGTCACAAAAAAAGTGATTCATGCTTCAATCGGTAATTTCACACCAAAACATCATGTTTAATCATCTATATGTATCCATTTATCAATTTTTTAAAGTAAGTTGTAAGATAATTACCCAAAAAGTTCGCACAAATTCAACTAATCTTAGAAATTAGTAAGGCAAAATCGACAAAGTTTAACTAATTAGTAATAGAATGCAATCGAGATTAAGAGATTAGATATTCCCTGAGAATCGAAGCAGCATTATGTCGAGAAGGCGTCAATGTGATGGATAGAATGGTTTCAAACTTGAGCTTAGCTAGCACTGGTTGTGCGGAGAAGGTATGCGGGTGGCTGACGACTGCAATTAGAGAATGAAGAGGCGGCGACTCACAAGGTTCGGCGAGAGATCACGTTGGCGCGGAGGGAAATTTTCATTTCGAGGTGGCAGGTTAAGAGGAAGAGAAAGGGAGAAAGAGGCCAACCTTAACATTCTTCCTCAAAATATTTTGATCATGAAATTTCTTACTCTTTTCTTTATTACCATTCTTGTAAAACTTCATTTTTTAATCTCCTCCAACTCTTGAAACTGTAATTTCTTACATTCTCCAGCTTCAGTCAAATTCATGTTACACTATTTATTAGCCCAAAATTCTCTATGTTCAAGTTCAACAAGTAAATGAGAAGGCTTACCAAAGACTAACTTGTAGAGCGACATTCCGATTGGAGTTTTATAACAATTTGATATGCCCATAGAGCATCCTCTATGCGCAAACTCCAATCCTTTTTATTTGGCCTTACTATTCTTTTTAGAATTTCCTTGATTTTTCAATTGGAAACCTCTGCATTCCCATTTTTGGCGGATGATATGATGTTGAGACCTTGTGAAGCTCTATACATTCGAAACAAAGCTAAAATGGTTTTGTTGCAAAAATGCGAGCTCCGATCACTTACAATTGCCTTAGGAATTCCAAATCGAGTGAAAATAGAAAATTTTGGAAAATTTGCAACAATCTTAGCATCGTTAGATCGGGTAGCCTTTGTTTCCACCTACTTCGACACATAGTCAACAACAAGTATGATATACAAAAAACCCATGTGAAAGTGAAAACGGATCAATAAATTCATACTTCACGCATCAAACATCTCAAAAAACAACATTAATGTTAGAGGCATTTGATTTTTAGCAAAAATATTGCCCACCCTTTGACATTTATCACATATTTTGCAAAATTCATAAGTATCCTTAAATAATGTAAAACAATAAAATTCACTATTTAGTACATTTTTTGCAATTTGTTGGGGCCAAAATAACTTCCACATTCCATGAATAAATTTCATAATGGACTTTTACTCACTTTCTTCGATACAATGTCGAATAACTTGATCCATACATCATTTCTATAGATAGGAGTCATCCCAAACATAGTATTTTGTATCACTCTTCAGCTTGTCCTTTTTTGCAATTGTCCACACTACAGAGAATTCATTAATGACCAAATAATTCACTAAATAACATATCAAGGGGAAGATAAGTAAATGCTCATCCAAAAAAAAATACTCCCTTAAACATAGTTCATCATGAACCGTAGGAATGAGTCTTAAATGAACAGATACCAATTTTTCACTTTCCTTTTTGTCTCGAATCTCCACATCAAATTCTTAGGAGTAATATCCATTGTATAAGCCTTAGTGTTTTTTCCTTTTCACCATTAGATACCTCAAGGTTGCATAATAAAAAAATACAATCACATTAGTATCCAAAAAATAACATCTAATATAGGCTACGTAAACCTCAAGCCTAAACCTTATGTTCTTTCTCTAAAGCAAAAACAACGGCTAGAAATTCTTTTTCAACAGTGGAGTAGTTCCATTGAGCTCTAGTGAGTGCTTTTGATGCATAAGATATTGCTCATAGAATATTTTCACTACGCCGTCCAAGCACATCCCCTACTACCGTGTCGCTTGCATCACACATGATCTCGAAAGGTAAGTCTCAATTTGGTGGTTAAATGATACGCGGTGATGTCAACAGCCTTTAATCTTGTCAAATGCCTTTTTTTCATTCTTCATCAAACTCAAATTGAACATTCTTTTGTAAAAATCAGAAAAGAGGAGCATACAACTTTGAAAAATCTTTAATGAACCGGCATTAAAATCCCATATGACCTAAGAAAAAGCATAAATCCCTCACCGAAATGGGATAGGATATCAACCTTAGCTATATCCAAAATTATCAATTTGATTTTTAAATTATAAAAATAAAAAATTATTTAAAATAATAGAAAAAATTGAATATTTGAATAATAATAATAATAAATAAAATTATAATTGAAATAAAATTACTGTAACTGTATATTTGTAGTTAAAACAAGATAAATAAAATTGATAAATTGGTGTCTAAACACTAGGCTTCTCGACAATTTTAGGCAACCACATCATTAGGCAACTACATCATCGATGAATAGTCATTCATTTTATAATTTTGGATTAAAATTGAACTCTATGGAAGCAATAGAAAAAAATTTCTTTGTCAAGAAACTTACCCCTTCACGCAATTTAGTAAGAAGGCATTTTTCTTGAACACAACGCTCATTAATACCCATGAATATTTGTTGTTATCTTTTTCAACAATATAACAAAACTTATGAAGCCATCAAAATCGAATCCAACAAAAATAAACTTACAGATCCAGATTAAATTTAATTTTTCAACAAACCATAACAAAACCAATCATTCAAACAATACAGACAGAGCTTACTAAAATTTAAGGCAAGACATTGTAAGGATTTGCACAAGGTTACCATCGAATAAGAATATTATAATTTAATCAAAAAAACCAGATCACATTTGACCTGTTCCTACTATTCTACAGAATTAGCCAGAAAAACCTTGAATAAAATCATCCAGAACGTATTTATACAAATAACACACAAAGACACTGTACTTATAAGACAAGAGTGCCAAAACAGAAGAAAATCACCCGGGTGTTCATCAGATTATAGAATAATAAACAAAATCTACAATTTGTGACATGGGCCTCATAGATCTTGGTGGAAAAATATCATCAAATAGAAATATATTTCAATTTCTATCAAGAGTAGCAAATATTGTACAAATCATCGGCCCAGAAAAGATTCATTGGCACAATACAATTCACAAAATTAAACAGATTAATTATTGAAATCATAAATAAAAAAAAAAACATAGTAAATCAAATGGAAACTATCGAAGATGATAAGGTCAGAAGTAGCTGGTTATAGTCATCACGGATAAAATCAATGGGAATCCGTCTGATTTATTTCATCATCCCTAATTATCATCGCTCAAGTACATACAATACAACCAAAGACAGAAATTTTCAAAATTGGGGCAAATGTATCTACCTTGTCACCGAAAATCCCGAAAGAAAGCGGAACAATTCGGAGCTAAAGGTAGAAACAAACACACGTACAATAACAATAACCATACATATGCAAGAGATTAATTAATATCGCCCAACGATAGATCCGCTAATCCACCGGTAAGAAATCAACGGATTGCAATATTGGGCACAGAAAAGAAAAATAAATCAGATGCAGTTATATTGTGAAAAAGAAGTGGCTCAGACATCCAAGGAAGTATAGAGACAGCAGAAGCTCTCAAGCCCGGCGAAGGCGAAAGCTCTTAGGCGGCCACTGCGAATGTTTTGAGAAACAAGCCTTTAGGATTATCATCACCGCCAGAGAAACCAAAACCAAAACACATGAAAATAAACAAAACAACAATACACTACAAAATCAAGTCACATATCAAAGCCAAAAGCTGTCGGGTAGAAGGTTGTACTTTCCCTTCTGTTGCTCAAGAAGGTGAGATGCAGTGGAGGTCAGGAAGCGGGATTCAGAAGAGGGTTAGGGTTAGGGTTTACTTGGGCCGTTAGTAAGCTGTATTTATAGGGATTCAGAAGCGTGTTAGGGTTAGGGTTTACTTGGGCCAATCTATTTATCAATTTATCTGCATTGTTAATTTGTTATTGGCCTTCAAGCCGGAGGTATTCTGTTTTAATTCTGTTTCAATATTACTTCGTCCTTCACTCGTATTACATATTTTTTTTATTTTAAATTATTCAATTACAAAATAATTATTTTAAAAATATTTAATATTTTATAAATATTTTTATTTTATCATCACATAAAAAAAAATATAAAAATAATTTTTACAATACTTTTTAATTATCTCTTACAATTAAAATATTATTTTTTAAAAAATTTGTATTAAAAATAAATGTATATTTTCAAATTGAACAAATATTATTTTTATATAATATTTTATGAAAATAATAACAATTATTATATTTGTTATTAAATAGTTCAAAAAATGAATTGAAATTAATCAAATCCAAAACTTATGAGTCTGTTTGTTTAAATAATTTTAATGTATGATATTTTTTTATTAGCATAATCTAATCTAATGCATCTCTCTAATACATATATATATATATATCTATTTTAGAATGACGTGGGGTTCATTATCTTAATTTCAAACACCACAAATTTTTAGATTATTTAGAATAAAAAAATTTAAAACAATAAGTTTTTATAAGTTTTAGGTTTTATGAAACATTACATTAATTTAGATTTTTTTATTTTTCAAAGTGTAGAATTTATGAAAATTTATATTAATTTAAGAAATTTAGAATTGGAAAAATAATAATTACAATATTTTTATAAAAAACATTACTGTAATTCAATATTTTATTTTCGAAAAAAATTTAACAATTTGTTTATGAAAATTTTTTACCCGATATATACTATATATATTTTAAGTTATCATATATAATTATATATATATATTTTATATATTTGAGAAGAATGTGACTATCGTAATAATATATATCGATATATATTTTTCTTTTTTTTAATATTCAATTATTTTATTTTATTGTTTGTTTTTTATTTTGCTTCTTTTTTTTTATCTATATAAATGCACATAATATTTTAAATTATATATATATATATTTTAATATTAGAGCAAAGAATATGAAAAAAAAGTAAGTGGATATAAGATTGGAATCGGAGAAAAGAAAAGAAAAAAAAAGAAAGAAGAACACGTGAGTACAAATGTTTAATATTTTATAATTTATTATTATTATTTTTTTGTAATGTATATAAACAATTTGAAGTACTTTTTTTTTTTGTATATTTTTGTATCATTTGTTCCCCAACAATTCACATATTAATTTATATTTAATAATAGAATTTAAAATTTAAATTTGATTTATAATATTATTTATATTTAATGATTTAAATTTTTATGGAAAAATCCGGATGCTTTCTCGTTATTAGTAACATTTCTTTACTATTATTTTTTTTAAATTATATTTTTATATTTTATTCTGATTTATGATTTTTTTGGTACATATGAAAATTGTAGCATTCAAAACAAACAAGTAAATTTTTTTCTTATTTTTTTGAATGTCTCTGATTACTATTGCGAATAAAAGAAAAAATAACATAGTTTTTTGTGGCTAATTATTTTGGATAATTAAATATGTTAATGATGATTAATTTAATTGATAATATATGTGAAATTCATAAAAATAACTACAAATATACAAAAATAAATTTTAATATTTTTTGTTTATATATCTGATTCAAATTATCTAAATATATTAGTTTAACAAATTCCACTACTTACTAAATTAATTTTATGATAATATACATAAATTTTAATCACCGGAACAACATACAACCATACCCATAGCATCTCCGTTCATATAAGACAATGGGTGTGTTTTTTTAGGAGGTTTTGGGAAAATTTAGGTTTGAATTGGATTTTTATTTGAATTTTGGGATGAGCTTGAATTTTGATTTTTTTTTTTTTTTTTTTTTTTTGAATTTGGTTGGAGTTTGAGGAGTTTTGATATGTATTGATTTGATGAGTATGAATATAATAATATAAATATATAGTAATTTGTATAATTTAATTATAAATTTATATTATAATTATTATAATTTTTTTATATTTATAATTCTGTGTAAAACTGTTACATCATTGATATTGGATCTGTGTCTCCACAGTGATGTCTAGAGTATAGAAGATAAGTAAGAATAATCAAAAGTCAAATAGAAAACCACACAAACGATATCATATACAAAGCATATATATTATATATATATATATACAGTTTACATTCCTGCATGCATATATTCAAATTTCCTTGCGTAAGATTTAAAATAACAAACTATTGAAAACTGTTGGTTACAATCCATAAGGATATACAAAAACTTGACAGCTGATGTCCTTTATCTAAATATAAAAAATCAAGGGTTGTTTCTTTACTCCGGTTTGGTGAATTTGAGTTTGGATTTAGTTTTTATTTAAATTTTAAAATAAGTATGAGTTCTTGTGTTTCATTTGTGTTTTGGTTTGGTTTGGGTCTGGATAGTTTTGATATGTATTGATTTTATAGATAATAATAATAATAATATAAATGTGTATTAAATTTAATTGATAAAATTAATAGTAGTATGATTTGATTATGAATATATATTATATCTAACATATATATTTTTAAAATTTTATTTATTTGTATTATAAAAAATTTCATTCTCTCCACATATGCTATGTATGATAATATTTTATTATATATTGGACTTCTTTTGAATGCAAAATTTTGTATATATATATATATATATATATGCTCTTGATGGTTTTTTTTTTAATGTTTATTAGGCTCACGAATGCCAAAACACCTTAGGTGTGTGATCATACCTAAGAAAAGCACAACGTTGGATGAATGAAAAATTACAAAAAGGTCATTTGGGGGTAAATGCATAAGCGCATTCTGCACACGACATCACACTATTATTTCACTAAACGAAAGATGAAGATGAAGAGACAAACATAGATGCAAGAGAGCATAGGTGTGCAGATACACGACGGACTTCCAAACATTCCTGCATCATTCCTAGAATTGAATTTCTTTGTCGATTCTCAAAATATTGATGGTATGATGACCTTTCTATTTTGATGTATATTTTTTTATTTCTATGGATTTTGAGTAGAATTAATTTCTAGTGTAGGCGTGATTGATATTTGGGGTGTGAATTTGTGAGATTTGGTTTTGTTAAATTTGATGTTGGATAATTTTTAATTATTATCGACAAGTTTAGAAATCTTGAATTGATATTTGCGCACGTATAGTTTGAGGTTTCATAATTATATTGGAGATTAATTGGCATCCGTACTTGTGTAATCTTTCAATTGGAGTAGTTTCCTAGAGAAAGAATACTTTAGGGAAAATTAAAATTAATTTTGAACATTCCTCGCAGGAATTTTGTTACGTACCTAGGATTGTCACTAGATCAAGAAAATATCTAACAGTCGTACCTTAGCTATCGAAAAAGTAAGAAATTGTTGATTTTGAACGCGTGTAACTCAACTATAACACCAATTTATCCAACTAGTCAATGAACTTAATTTTAGTTGATAAACAAATTTCATATTCTAAACAAAAAGACTACGTCTATGCCGAAATTAAATTATCTTTGAAAAATCAACCATCTTTCAATTTAATTTATTTTATTTTAGTGAATTTCTTTTTCCTCTTGTTTAGATCCCCCGTTATAAATATTAGTATAATTATAAATAATCAAATAGTCAAATCTTTTGTGATTGCATGCGAAGGCGACCCCACTCATCATTTACCAGTTATAGTGTATTGTAACGTAAGAACTAATATTTTTGCAGCCTTGCAAGAGAGCTTTTATTATTGTTGCAGTTAGGTGTTACAACGATAATGATGAAGGTGGAATTAGGAAAATTAAAGTATTTTGATTGCCTCCAATATGAAAAATACTATTAGGGTGTGTTTACTTTGTAAGAAATTATTATAATACATGTATTATCTGAATTATATGATAAAATAATTTAATGTTACTATAATGAATTGTTGTATAAGATTATTAAATTTTCTTAAAATACCCTTAATTAAAAGATAAAATTAATAGTAAAATAGGTAGTAATGTTATTGATAAAATAGTATACTAGATATAAATAATATGACTTAGGCATTGAATGTAGGTAAACTACAGGTTTGCGCCACGCGCCTGGACTAGATAATTTTGTTATGTGTTTAAACTTGAGCTTGGTACATGTTACGAAATCTATTATGCACCATAGCATAATCAAAATAACACAATATTTTGTTGAACATGAAGTCCAATAAAATAGATTCAAATAGTCCAAAATAAAATAAATTCAAATAGACCAAAATACAGCTCTTATACAATAAGTCGCATGCAGGATCGGAAATACATTCTAGTGATAAAAGTCATTTATTTTGCATGCATGCATGCAATTTCATAAATTATTATGTTAGTTTAATTAATTAATTAATCATATTTGAATTTTGATTATTTTTTAATTATCTTATATAATTAAACTAACTTTAAATTGTAGCCCACTTTTCTCCCATTAAGTCTATCACATTCAAAATAGTGAGAAGTGGCAGAAAAATCGTGATGGACGGTTTTTCTTTTTAATTATAAATACTCTCACATATGGGTTACTAAACCTACTCTAATACACCATCGCTGTTTGAGAGCCAGGGTTTGGCAGCATCATCCTAGGGTTCCAGGATCTGACAATATCTTCGCAGGGTTCCAAAGTTTGGCAACATCCTCCCAAGGTTCCAGAGCTTGACAACACCATCTTTCCACGGTTCCAACTACCCTTCTTTGAAGAAGGAGATCTCAAGAATAAATTTAATTTTTAGCAATGGCTGGAGGTTTGTTTAAATTCCGCTTCCGCTAACATATTTGATTATATGTTTATTTTCTAACATTTGGTATCAGAGCAGGTTTTTGCCTCTGCCTTGCTTTGAATTTTCTTCTTCTCAAATTCTTGATCAAGTTTAGCTTTAATTTCTTATTTGAAATATTTTGGTTTCTTATTTTCAACAATTGCTTTGCGATATTTTTTGATCAAAATCCGATCCTGTGATTTGAGAAAATTTCATTCTGTTTTCAAGGAAAATTGTGAATTTTATTTTGAAATTAATTTATGCAAAATATTAAATTTCTGAATTTTTCCTGTGTTGTGTTTGATGGAGTGTTCAAATTCTTCTGTAATGTCTTATGTGCACTTCATATCCGTGCCAACTTGTATGCGCAATTAATTACCTTGAGGAAGCCATTCCATGTTTAATTTTTGAGATTAATTGATCAGATCAATGGATGTTTAATTGATCATTTAATCCACTAGAACAGACTTATTTTTCCAGATTGATCTGTTTGCTAGATGTTGGTTTGAATTTTCATTATAAGTTTGTCTATACATTATATCCGCCTGTCGTTGCGTTTGTATTCGCTTCTTTGCAATCCATGTATATGATTATAGAATCGTAATCAATTTGCTTTTTAAGAGATATCGTAAGATATCATAATATGTCAATCAAACTTACTTCTTAATATTATTTTAAATATATAAAATTTTTATAATTTTTTATTTTACTGATATTATTACAATAATATTATACATAAAGAAAATAATATATATATTTAAATTTTTGAGAATCCACATAAATTTATGTAGTAACTAGAGATTTATAGAATGAAATTTGTTAACAATTTTATATAATAATCTAATAAAATATATAGATTATTAAAGTCCATAAATCGTTTAATTCATCCCGATCTTTTAAAATCTGAGTTTTTAAAAAATTTTAAAAATATGAATTAAAAACATCCAAAAATTTAAAATTTTTGATTAAATACTTTTATTATTCAAAGTATAGTCTGGTGGGTATGCTCCTGGATTTGATTATTGCCAAATTTTGTGTTCACTACTTTTATTACTCAAACACACCAGACCGGATCCTCACCGTCTATTCATATCCACTTGGGAATATGCCATTTGGATCCTACAACTGATCGTCCTCTCTAAACTGATGATTGGATTTGGCAATATGTGAAACTCACAACTCCTTTTGACTACCGACGATCCGATCAAAGAAGAAGCAGAAGAATCAGATCTCAGCAACTATGAATTCGCTACGTGAGCACGTTATCACTCCTATTTTAATCCATTCATTCTTTGTTTTTTTTTTTTTTTTCCTCGTTTGTTTATTGATTGTGCCTTGCATTTCGTGTTGATTTAGCTGAATGACGGTTTTATCTGAAGTATATCAGCTCGTCGATTTCAATGTTGTTGAGATTTCGAATTGAGATAAATTTATTCACGGCTACTGACATTTCTCTACTTGTATTTGCAAGTATATTTGTAAGTTTCCTAAAATCATATATGTTTAGTTGTGTTAGGGGCCTTCGAGTTTATGATCATATATGAAATTTTGATTCGAACTTATCAAGTGTTCCGGTTAAAGCTTCTTGGATTCATACGAAAATTAGATCAATGCTGCAACTCACTAAAAACAAGGTTTAAATTTCAAAATCGGAACCTGATTGTCCTGCCAGAAATGTCTTATATCCATTTAAGTTCAGTAAGTGGTTATGTTTTGTATTTGAAACCACAAAAAAAAAAAAAAAAAAAATCAATACTGCAGTGTTTGTAGTTTTGTCTTGATTGATGCAGACTCAAGGGGAATGCCACTGCACTTTTGCCGTAATCAACTCTAACTTTATGAGTTATGCATTTATAATGTTTGATAAGAAGCTTGTGGTTATTAAATTCGCTGCAGTCTTGCATTATTAAGTAGTTTCACTATGGAGTCTCATCTCAAGAGTCTGCTTCATGTTTTGATGTTCATCTATCTGTTCATGGAGTTTTACTTATGAATTTTCAATGAACGTAATCTGAGACTGAGCATAGATCATTATTTCCTGTCACAATTATAGAAGTTATGCACGGCTCTATCCCTTCAGGTCTCATTTATTTTGTGTTTCTGCTGCTTCTTATTGGGGGCTCTTCAAGACCACTCTATCCACTACCAAGTAGAAGAAATGATAGAAATAGACGACCTCTCCAAACCTTTCGGCCATTTAACATTGCGCATCGTGGTTCGAATGGAGAAATTCCTGAAGAAACCACTGCTGCATATCTGGTAGGTATTCTTCCTCTTCAGTCCATGCACAAAATACTGGCCTGGCCCTTGTTGTTAGTTACCTTTTATGCCCCTTTAAAGTTTATTCTTCGTTTTAGAACATTCAAATTGCACATAAAACCTTTTTAATTAGTTACTATATGCAGCATCTTAGATTCCCTGGCTGTAGTATTAGTTGCTCATAGTGCATTCTGATTTTCGGCATTCTTGCCGTCTTGTCATAAAGCACTCGTGTATTGCATTGCATAGTGTGAAACTATCAATATTTAACAATTGGAAAGATCATATTCCTAGAAAATATTGATGAGTAAATGTGGATATGGAGTGAAATGGTTGTTAAAATTAGGATGATATTACAAGACTTGCTTACCGTTGGATGACTTTCTTGCTATGCTCATTCACAAAATATGAAAAGAGAGATGGGCTTGGATTCTGAGATGAGCAGCAACAACCCCAATGACACTGTTTTTGTAATTGATTGATTATATAAGAAATTTGATTAATTTGCAGAGAGCCATTGAAGAAGGTGCTGATTTCATAGAGTCGGATATTTTGGCCTCCAAAGATGGTGCTCTCATATGCTTCCATGATGTATACCTTGATGACACTACTGATATATCCGAGCACAAGGAATTCTCTGACAGAAAAAGGACCTACCGGGTTCAAGAGCAAAATATTACGGGTCATTTTGTAGGTAACTAGACCATCCAATGGTATCTGCTTACTCTGTAGTTTTTCTTACCTTGTGCACGTTTAAGTTTTTTCTTATTACTCATGAAAAGGTTTTGAAGTGCTCTAATAAAATATCGAAAGATTGTTCTTCCTGGTGTCTGAGCTTTTTTTTTTTAGTTTTTGTCATCAAAGATAAATTATGACTTCTGATTTGTCGATGTTTCCCCTTATGATGTGTAGTTGATTTCACACTAGAAGAATTGAAGTCCCTTCGAGTGAATCAAAGATTTTCTTTCCGAGATCAACAGTACAATGGTTAGTCCTCGAATTTTAGCGCTCAGGCAAGTTTCAACGTTATGTTTATCCCTCTATTACGTCGTCTAGCTGATATATGTATGCCCTCAATACTGCTTTGACTTATGCTCAGTCTTTCCCAACATGGAACACCAAACTAAACTGTTTTGTTGAACATAAAATGATTTTACACGTCCGACCTTTTACACTGCAGGGAAGTATAGTATTATCACATTCGAGGAGTTCATTTCAATTGCTCTGGATGCACATAGAACTGTCGGGATATATCCCGAGATAAAAAACCCAGTATTCATCAATCAACACGTGAGTTTTTCTTCACCGTGGAAAATGCCCAAAACATTTGGCATTTCAAAGGGATTTTACATCGGGCGTGCCCTTTGTGACAGGTGAAATGGGCGGATGGTAAGAAATTTGAGGACAAATTTGTGGAGACACTCGAGAAGTATAGATACAAAGGCTCTTACTTGTCCAAGCAATGGCTAAGACAGCCCGTTTTTATTCAGTCATTTGCGCCGACGTCTCTTTTGTATATATCAAAACTCACCGAGTTACCCAAGATCTTTTTGATCGACGATATGACAATGCCAACTCAAGATACGAACCAGGTTTGTACCTTTCATGTTTTCCTTATACGAAATTCACATTGATGATATATATGTCTTGGCATTAACAATTTAGTGCATCAGTCCTATTGGGAGATCACTTCAGATAGATATCTCGACTATATCAAGGATTTTGTAGTTGGAATTGGGCCGTGGAAGGACACTATAGTTACTGTATCGAATAATTATCTACAAGCGACCACTGATCTTGTAGCGCGAGCTCACGCCCGTAACCTTCAGGTATGCAGATTAAGAAAATCTATATCCTAATAATATATAAAAAGGCCTAATTAATGAAATCTTGCTGCTTGTTCTTCTTTGAGAACTTGAGTGAGGAGTAGACACCATTTTTGCGCAATATCTATATCTTGTTGAACTCACTCACGTCATGTGCTTCGATGATATGCATACGACTAGACATTGTCATGATCTTTTAACTATATTATCCAGGTGCATACTTACACTTTCCGGAATGAGAACAAGTACTTGCACTTCAACTTCAGCCAAGATCCCTACAATGAATTCGATTATTGGATAAACAAGATGGGAGTCGATGGGCTGTTCACGGACTTCACGGGAAGCCTACACCAGTATCAAGAATGGACGTCGCCTGCCAACTGAGACGACGAATCTTCATATACTAATTTGTGTTAAGAATATAACACGTGAAAATCCAAATGAAAAAAAAAATAAAAAATCAAATAGAATATTGAATAACACAAGATCCAAGCCGCATTCCACGCTAATTTTTTTGAAGTAAATTCGGTTCGCTACCGACTGTTTCTCAAAATACAACGGAGAGGAGAGAGGTAGAGATATTCACTTGTAGGATTTTTAGTTGTTTATTTTTATTATTTTAAGGCTCGAGGCTCATTTTTTGTCTATTTCAATGTAGTCAAGCTCAAGTTTAGGCCAAGTTCAAACTAAGGTCCAAACACATCCAATTCAACTCCAATTAATATATTTACAATAAATGGACTACAATGCAAGATATTTATCGTTGGTATGATTTGTTTGGTCTTTATATGTGGGACCCTTTACCTCTTTAACCCTCACACACCAACTATTTGTTCATAATATTGTTGCTTAGCATTAGCTTGCTATGATCACACGGTTCAGGAGCTCCTAATTGTTTATTCTTTCTCTTCTCTACGTATTGAAGTTGAAGAAATATTTAGGTACCATGATTATTATGTCTTTATAGCCATGATCATGGTGAGTTTTTACTTGAAACTAAAATCAAAAGTAGTCAATCTATAATGTTTATCATAAAGATAAAAAATTCAAGATTGATTAAATATTTGATTCAGCTCGTGGCTGAATTTATTTTGTCCGTTACATGTTAATTGTGATCAATCGTTGAGATTTTTCATATGGTTAAAAATGTCTTTTGATTTACATGTTAAGTTAGATGTTCTTTCCCTTATTTATGAACATGATTTAAGGAAAACAAAAATACATTTATATCATATATAATTAGATTTCAATAAGATACAAACTTAATCATTAGATTGTAACTTTATTTTTAAATATAAATTCATTTATATATTTGGCATTGTTATGTGATTTTTTTCCTTTTTCACAACGAAACACTTGTTGTAGTTTTCTTTTTCGTTGTGAATGGGAGGCGTTAGGATTCAAATCACTGAGATTTTGGAAATGATTGTCTGTATATGAATGTTGTTAGTATTTTAGAATTATTAAGGCATGATTCATAAATTTCTCAAATTAAACAATAAATTTGAAAACCCTAGGTTTAGAACAAGTTTAACAAAATAGATTCAGGCAAGCTAGAAACGTTGCGCAGGGAATTTGAGAAGGTTGAGGAGAAAGTTGAAAAGAGAGTTCAGAGAATTAAATCCACAAACGAAAAGTAATAACCACAACCTCGGGGGCTGAATTTGTGGAACCAGCACCGCTGGAGGCTTATTACAGAAGGAGAAGGGTACTTGAGCTAACAGAGGACTGGGGGAAGCTCAGAGAACTGAAGTCCATCCCATTCAGAAAATTCATCCTAGAGTTCCCGGAGGATTACCTTAGATTCGAATACACAGAGGAAACAGAGCAAAGGTTTCTGGTGAGCGACTGGTGGTTGGATTACGAGGAGCTTGGGGACTTCCAGCTGAAAGAGCTGAAGGACAAACTTGGGCGCGATTTTGATTTGGGCGCGATAATCGTCATAGATATCTGGGAAAGAAGAAACGGAGAAAGAAACGTTAGGTCACGGGACCCTGATTACAGAACTATGCCGACGCGCGAGCGTCAATTTGCCCACTTCAGCCCCAGAACTGCAAATGAGGCCGCTGCTCCCAGCGGCCTTCCACAAAGCATGGCTGGAGTCCAAGGGGTTCACCCTCATCCCCAAACAAAAAAAAGAGGAAATCACAGGCGGCTGCACCCCTTCCACCAAAAAGAAAAATGAAGGTTGGGGGGGTGGGAAATAATAAGAGAAGAAGTGACACCCCAAGCCGATCCGGAAGAGGCCGCTGCAGGACCCAATTTTAAACGAACCATCTCCAATGAAACTCCCGTCGATGAGGAGGAGGAGTCCTTCCGGTTTGTTCGGGAGATAGAGGAGGAACTATTCGGGGCAGAACTGGCCAGGAGAGATAAGGGGGGAAAGCTCCGGGAGCGACCGCTGGTGAGAAGAGGTCAAAGCGAAAGGAAGACCCCGCTCCAGCGCCTGTCAAAAATGCGAGGGTGAAAGAGGCACTGCAAAAAAATTCAACACCCCCTCGACGAGCGATAAGGCCGGAGAAAGAGAAAGGTAAAGCGGTGGAAGAGGAAGCGCATGAAGACATGATCCCGCTCTCCAGACTAAGGAAAGGGATTACAATCAGAGAACCCACCGCTCAACTCAAAAGACCTTTACCAGCGAGGCCAATAACGGAGGGGGTATCACCCGAGCCGTAGAGTCCACTGGGCAATGAACCTATTCCCTTCAACCAGTAGGGGGCAAGTGAGCCAACTACTGTTGGACCAGGCAATGAAACCACAACCGTTAACCAGCCGGGAGCAGTGGAGCCTACTGCTTCTGGACCAGAGGAGGAGCGGGAGACCATCATAACTGAAGGAACCATCGGCGGGATCGATGTCACAGTGGAATCCTACAAGGAGTATCCCGCTGAGGTCACCGCTGCCGCAATCGCTGAAGTTGTCAATAAAACCGAAAGGGTCAAGGCAGTCATAACAAATCTTCTCCTTCTGCAGGTGTCTCTACACAGCCCCAGAACGCCAATAAACATTGGAACACCTGCAGAAACTCTGACTCCGGCCTCAGCAAAATTTGACAAAACTATCTTCGATGAGGAGGAGGATGAAGAGGAAAAACGATTCCGGAAAGAACAAGCTCAGCTGCTCGCCACAATGCAACAGTTAGAACATAAGTGACAGCGTGAGCGAGAGAAGAAAATGAAGATGAAGGTGTTGGCTAAGTTGCTGAAATACTGATAGCCGTTCACCCAACTCCAACTGCGATTCAGAAAATACTTGGAGCGGAAGAAGGCAGAACAGATGGAGTATGAGGCAGCGAGGCAACTGGTGTTCCTGAGGGATGTCACCCTTGAGCTAGCACCTGATTCCTCGAGGAAAGATGAGCCAGTGGACATCAGTTCGGCTGAGTCTGAGGGACAGTCACCATCACCCGCGGAAGCAGGCACATCAGCTTCCCGCGCGACTCTTGACACCTTAGAGAGACGTCTGGATGAACTCGACGCAGCCATGCTCAGCCAATACCTGATGACCTAAACATTGATAGATACTTATGCAAGGAATTTGGCTGAGGGACTGGCCACTAGCAGAAAGGCAAGCGCCGCACTAGAAGAGCGTGTGGATGCACTGGAGACTCGAGCTGCAAGCCTGGGTGCATCTCAAACAGAGATTTTGAAGGCGCTCTCAGCCATCACCCAACAGAACGCAATCCTCATGGAACAATAGCTTGACACAGCTCGAAGTCTCCAAAGAATGGAAGATCTAGTGCGGCAGCTGACGAGGAATTTTCCCCAGGGACGAGGACCTTCTAGCGAGACAAGAAAATAAAGGAAGGTCCTCCCCCATGTACATAGTTTCTGAAATGGCAAGGGCTGTACATAGAACAAATGATCAACGAAACAACAATTTTGGTAACAAATGAAATTTTTCTTTACTGTATGCCTACCATAATCTGAAGTATGTGTTCTTATTTAAGATACTTGTGATATCCCGCTGCATTAGCTCTGTGATATGTTTTAAAGTAAAGTTAGATAACTTACAAAGACCAGACCAAGTAATTGTCCTTCGAACTTTCTCAATAACTCAAACCTTGGTGTTAAACTAAGTAACAGCGGATAGGACTTGTGAGGATTGGTGCCCCCTTCGTTTCAATTTTCCCGTACTCAGTAGGGCAAGCGAACTTCTGTCTATCGTCTTTGTTCACAAGAGATGACTTGAAAAGAGAAATCCTTAAATATGGTTTAAGACACAATGTCAGCAAAGCAGGGATGACCCATCATTACAAAGGAGCTGAAAAGGCCTAGGTGCGCGAGAATCAAATAATCATGAGCAGACACAATGTTCGTTTGAAACTCATGATCCAACAAAAAAAATGATTCTCCGCACCTTTCGGCTAAAGGCTTCCTTAATAAAAAATAATCCCTGCTAAGCAAAAAAAAGTAGACGATACAGGGATAACTCCATTCATGTTAAATCAATTGACAAGTTTGAATGCTTAAGGATCAATTGTCTCTATCCGAGATTCACCTTACTCCCAATCATGGCACTGATCGTTATCAATTCTTGACTGCAGTGAACAAAATGACTATGTGATCTCATAATTTAGTTTGTTCGAGGACGAACAAAGGTTTAGTGTGAAAAGGTTTGATGACTCCAAATATAAGCATATTCTTTGCTTGAAAAAACTACATATTACTTGAATTTCTGTATAAAAACCATCACAATACCTAGTTAATGGCATACTTTATTGATCTATATCACTTGGCATGATCCGAAGTTGGTTTGTTAAGATTATTAACAATTTTTCCCCTTTTAAGCGGTGTCTTGGTGCCAGAAAAGCTAAGTCAGACGCCACAAGCGACATCCACCTCCGCTCGCAAGCGGCGATTACATCACCCGGAAAACTAAGGGAAGAGAGGCAAGCGGTAGCTTCCACCGCTCACAAGCGGCAGTCTCTCTCGCTCGCAAGGGACGGCTCAGACACCCACCGTTGCAGAGTGACAGCAGCCCAACTCAAACATTGACTAAGTGTCCCAACTGCAACAGTACAACCATTCCATTACCAGCCAGCACAAGCAAGCCTGCCTAGCTGCAGTGATGCCCTCCAGTCATCCGACAAGCGAGGAAGATCTGCCCCCTTATAAATCCATGCAAGGAGAGCGAGCACCCTAGGAGTTATGGTAAGTAACTGCTTCAACAGAATAATTGTCATCAATCGCCTAACTGCCTAGCGGTTGAAACCGCCTTGTAACTGCTTGCAACTGTTACTTTCACCTACTATAAATAGCACCAGATATCTGCATGTAAATATACTTTGACTGAAGTATATTAACAATTAATTTTCTGTGCATTCTAGCCGTCTTCCTGTTCTCCGAGAGCTCCAACCCTGTAAGGGAGTTCTCCACAGGAATGACCAAGGGAGTGGGGAGTCCCCTTCTCCCTTGGCCAAGACTTTACTGCTTACTTAGTGTAGTTTTATTACTTTCATTTACAGTTTTGTAAAATTAGAACTTCCAACTTTAATAGTAAGTAATGAAATATCATTCAATTCTTCATCCCTAGTTCTTTCATACTTTTTCATACTTATATAAATCCTGATTGTAAAGAATTTCGTCTCACTGGTTTAGAGCACAGAAGAATTGTTTATCTAAGCCTTGTCTTTTGCCACAAGCA